GGATTACTGAAGAGGGTTGTAACCAGGCCCATGATGACTTTTATTATCCCATATAATGGCAAAGTATGCATTACAAATTTAAGAATCTGTTTTACAAACTTGACTAAGTGGAAGATTGCCCCATTTTGCTTGTAAGGTGGACTACTGGGCAGTAGCAAGAATCAAAATTGTATGAAGCCTTGGAAATTAAGAAAAAAATTTTAAAAATTAATTTCTGTCTGAGAAGTGTTTGTAGACTGGGAATTTAGATCTTAAAGTGGTCTTAAATCTGTCATGGTGAATAGCCACCAAATAGCACAGCTTACAGAATGAGTTCACTTGTTGAATGCAGCTAGGATTAAACATGCGATTGTATGTGTAGAGAATGTTTGCTGTTTTTTAATATTTGTTATATTGTACTGGTATCTGACAGTGCATCTGCAATGCCATGACAGTGCTTGCTACTTGAAATTGTTCCTGAAATGTGCTGATATCAGTGCATAAGGGGGGTACTTGTATTTCTATTGGATAAGTAGGACAAGGGAGGCATATATTCATCTAAAAGTGCATTTAATTCATCTAAATGCTACTTTGATTACTTAGGTACAATTTTAGTGGAAGTCTAAGACATAGCTTGTTTTATTTCAAAAGTATGGAGAGATTATATAATTTTATGGTTTGCCAGTAGAATTCCTATATTGTTGCTTTTACACTATTTCATTCATATTCATAACTAAAAACATTTTCCATCACTCTAAAACATGATTAAAGGTGATGTATAGCTATTTTGAAAAACATCTACTTTTCTACTGAATTAAATCATCACATCTTTTTTCCTCTGTAGATGTAGCTTTGGAATCAAACCCTTCTGACCATCCAAGGGCAAGAACAATGTTCCTGAGCAAATCTCAAACATACGGTAAGAATCCTTTTCCCCATCAAGGATAAGGATGAAAACCATTGCTATTTTATGTGATAAGTTATAGAAAATATTTAGAAGAACCTATGCATTTGTTTCAAATTTTCAACTTTCCGTATATTCACTTTACCTTTACTGCGTGATTATACACTTCCTTTTAAATGTCAGTTTTTAGTTGAGAGCTTGTGCACTTTCTGGTAACATTTTGCCACCTCTTTATCAGTACAGTATTCCATATGATTAAGAAGTCACAGGTTGTTATTTTCAATACTATTTTATTCCTTTCCTCTTATGCCATAGATTATGCTCTAAAAAGAAATGATAGGTCTTAGGTTACAGTTAAATTATCATGTTGGCAAAATTTAAGTATCATAGATAGAATCATCAGTTTGACCTCATTGCTACAGGGTTCTAACCACATGAGCCTAGCTCACACCAGTCTTATGATTTATGGTGTAAGCTAACATAGACGTCCTACTGTCTTCTATTGCTTTACTGAAAGGAACAGTTGATGATTACTTGTTTGATCAGTCTTGCATGTCTCTGTTTGTTTTCCTGAGAAACCACCTTGAAGATATCAATACTTAATACAACAAACATTGTTAATTTCCTACAACTTTGTCTGTAACTCTGTACTGTTTGTACTGTTCTTATGCTATTTTGTAAATGGATGTCTGTTAATATGTTTTTCTTTTATTTCTTTTAAAAAAGAAATTTTAAACTAGTCAAAACTTTTTAATCCTAATATGAAAATCAGTGCAAACATACTCCTTTGATATTTCTTTGATATTTCATTAATTTCATTAATGATATTTCATTAGCTTACATTAGGATGAGAATCAGACCTGTAGTAATTTTGTGTTACCATATATCTTTTTCTTAAATTTGGCCAAATCTTTTGTGTTGCTGTTAGAAAAACAATATATGACCAAATCTTTTAGTTGACTGCAACAGTAAGAATTTAAGGAAAGAAGTCTGTAATACTTGGAGAAATGTAGCACATTGAAAAAATTTTGATCTGCATTTCCATTTGTGCACAATTTTCCTTTCTTGAGCTGGTCATTTCTGGCTAACATTGTGTTTCTTCATTTCTTCAAGAGCTGTGGGCCTGTCATATGTGAAGTATAGGTAGCACTACATGGGTGTTCTATGCTCCTGTCTTCAGGGGACAGTAACGTGCCTGCAGCAGGCTTAACATTAAAGGAGAAGGCAGTGTGGGAAACTCTTTGGCCCATGTCACTCTCTGAGCATTTACTTTAAGGCCTTTCATACTATGTTCAGTTGAATTAACACCCTCATTTCAAGCTCAAAATTTGAGGTAGATTATCTTCCAATTTTCTAAAAACCCACTAATTATTTTAGTAGCTATATGGCTTATATCTAGATTTCCCTTCAAAACCTCATGCACTCATAGGTGGGACTTTTTAGAGATGGTTGGATCTACAGTGTGTGAGTATGAATTAGGGATGTGTGAGAACTGGATTAGTCTACTACTTGGTTAGCATAGTTCCAGGTACTGATAATGTGAAGGACCATCCTGAGTGTGTGTGGCCTGGGAACCAGCTGATGATGGACTGAAACCTCTGTGCACTGAAATAAACCTTTCTTCCTTTAACTTGTGAATATGAAGTATTTTATTCCAGCAATTAGAAGTAGTTAAGATAATAATATATTTCCAATATAGTATCTTTATAGATTACCAGTAAGTGGTTAAAGAAAATTCCAGGACTTCTAGTCCAGCAAGAGGTCAGCACCTAGACAGAAGCTGGTTCTTAGTGCTTTCTGCTAGATGCTGATAGTTAAGCTGTATGGTAATGTACAATTATAAAGTAGTGTTTATTTACTCAGGACACTCAGTTTAGCGGTTCAGATTTGCAAAAACTATTTTTAATAGCTAGATTTTTCTTAGTCCAGTTCGTTTAAATGTTTCATATAAAGAAAGTCTCTTAACTGTTAGGTTTTTTTTTTAAGGTATAACTTTTTCGCTTTTACTTTAAGGAGTTCATCTTAGTAGATGTAATACAACAACCATTGTTAATTTCCTATCACATTGTCTGAAATTCTGTATTGCTTTTATTGTTTTTGTGTTGTTTTATGTCTGTGTATGTTAATATGTGTTCATTCTTTTATCTTTTAAAAGAAAGTAAAACAGAATTTTATATCATTTTGTATATTGGTAATCCACCAGATAATTAGTAGCCACTTTTACTCCTCTATAGCATTTGTATCAGAATTGATTAGTTAGTGTTTTGTTTTTATTCTTAGTGCATGATAAGAGGAAGAAGAAGTATTCCAACCAGGTAAGTAAATAGAAAGATAAGAAAATGAGTTTGAATCAGAAGAATTCTTTTTCTAAATTAAATTTATTTGTACATTTTTGATACATGATGATCCCATTGATTGTAGGGCATTGTACCTGTACATAGTATATTTTGATTCTTTTCTTATTCCCATTCCTCTTCTCTCTGTTCAACCCTTATCTTCTTATTTATCAAAGCTGTATTTCTATTTTTTCTTCTATTCTTTTGTCTTTTTCCCTTCCTTCTCTTTCTCTTCCCTCCTGCCCTATTCCCTGTCCCAGGTGAACATTTTCTTCCTACTTCCCAATATTTATCACCCATTTTTGTCCTTATTTTCAGTTTTGGTTTCTCACACAAGAGAAACAATACAATATTTAAATATGTGTGTCCAATTTATTTCACTTAAAAGTATGGTCTCAAGGTACATCCATTAACCTAAAAATGTCTCAAGTTTATCTTTCTTTATGGCTGAGTAGTACTCAATTATATATAAAAATCACATTTTCTTTATCCATTCCTCAAGTATCTGGGCTGCTTCAAAGATTTAGCTACTACATATTGTGCTGCTATAAGCATGGGTGTTCATATATTGCTGTATTTTGATACTTTTCATTCCTTCTGGAAGATACCAAGAAAGGAATACCTGGGTCAGGTGGAACCTGTAGTTTAAGTTTTTTGAGGTATCTCCATACTGATTTCCATATTGGTTGCATAAATTTACACTCTCCTAACCCACAAACTGTAGATAAATGTTCCTTTTTCCCCACAGTCTTGTCAACTTTTGTTATTGGCTGATTTCTTGATGCTAGCCATATTTTCTGGAGCAAGATGGAATCTCAGTGCTGTTTTAACCTGCATTTCTCAAATGACCAGTGATGTTAAACATTTTTATATACTTATTTGGTATTTGTACTTCTTGATCTGGGAAGTATTTATTCATATCAGATGCCCATTTTAGATAGGGTCTTTAAATATGGAGGTCTAAATATTTTTAGTTCTTCATATATTCTAAATATTATTCCTTTGTCTGAGGAATAACTAATAAATTTTTTCACCTTCTATGGGTTGTATCTTTATTCTGTGGTTTCTTTTGCTGTGCAAAAGCTTTTTAATGTGTTCATATGCAGATTTTTTTGGATATTTCCTGTGTGATTGGGATTTTGTTCATAGTCTTTGCATACAACCATATTTGCAAGAGTTTTATTTATTTTATCTTCTAGAAGATTGCTTCTGTTTTAATATTTAGATCTTTGATCCATTTTGATTTTAGTTTAGTGTTTGGTGAGAACTATAGGTCTATGTTTAATCTTCAGCATGTGGACAGCCAGTTTTCCCAGCACTGTTTACTAAAGAGGCTTTTTTTTCTTCCACTGAAGAAGTTTGGCCCCTTTGACAAAGATATTTACATGAGTATGTTTGAAATTGTTTTTGTATCTTCTACTCTGTTCCATTGATCCTGGGTCTGTTTTTTGCCCTTACCATTCTGTTTTTATTACAGCAGCTTTGTACTATAATTTTAGGTCAGGGACTGTGATACCCCTGCCTTGCTTTTGATGTGCAGGATTGTTTTTGCTATTCTAAATTTCTTCTACCTCCACATGAATTTCAGGATACTTTTCTATAGTTCTGTGAGGGTATGGTATTGGTATTTTAATCAGGATTGCATTAAATCTGTGAATAGTTTTGGAAGTATGGCCATTTTTCCTATACTGGTCCTGCTTATCCAAGCATATGTGATACCTTTCCACTTTTTATATACTCTTTGATCTTTTTTGAGCACTGTAGTTTTCAGTGTAAAGGTTCTTTAGCTCCTTTTTTAGAATGATTTCTATTTCATTTTCCTTGATGCTATTGTGAAAGTTGTTGTATCCCTAATTTCTCCCTTGGTAAGTTTGTTGTTTGTGTACAGAAACACTACTGATTTTTGAGTGTTGACTTTGTATCCTGTTACATTACTGAATTTGATTATTAAACCTAGGAGTTTTTTGGTGGTTTTTGGAGTCTTTTATGTAGGGTATCATGCCATCCAAAAATAATGATAATTTAACTTCTTTCTTTCTTATCCTTATTTCTTTTCTCTCTCTTATCTAACTGCTCTGATTAATATTGCCAGAACTATAATAAATAGGAATGGTGGTAGTGGAAATCTTTGTTTTTTTCCTGATTTCAGAGTGAAAACCTTCAATTTTGGGTCATTTAGTATGATGTTGGCTGTTGGATAGTCATAGATTGATTTAATCCAATTGCAATAAAGAACTATTCCAGGTTTCTGTAAGGGTTTTTTTTTTATCATGGATAGGTGTTGGACTTTGTCACATGCTTTGTTTGCATCTATTTAGATGTTCATGTGGTTTTTGTCCTTATTTCTGTTAGTGTGATGTATTATATGTATTGATTTGCATATGTTGAAACATCTCTGCATCCCTGGGATGAATCCTACTTGGTAATGGAGTATAATCTTTTTGAGACTTTACTCCTTCTCTTTGCCAGTATCTTTTACAGATTTTTATGCCTATGTTCATTAGGGAATTTGACCTATAATTCTCTCTTTCTTTTGAATCCTTCTCTGGTTTTGGTATCAGTGCAATGCTTGCTTTCGGAAATGAGTTTAGGAGCTTTTGCTTCCATTTCAATTTCATTAAAGAGTTTAAGGGGTAGTGTCATTAAGTCTTCTCTAAAGCTCTTGTAGAATTTAACAGTGAATCTACCAGGACCTTGGATTTTCTTTGTTGGTAGGGTTTTAATTACATCTTCATTTTCATTAACTGATATTGGTTTATTTAGAATTTTATATCCTCTTGATTCGGCTTTGGTAAAAACATATGTATCTAAGAATGTGCCCATTTCTTCTGAGTTACCATCTTACTGGAGTACCAGTTCTCCATGTAGGTTTTGATGATCTTGTGGATTTCTTCAACATCTGTTGTGAATTCACTCTCTTTATTCATAGCTGCATAGATTTGAGTCTTTTATTTCCTTTTTTTGATAAAGCTAGTTAAGGGTTTGTCAATTTAATTTAATGTTTCAAAGAATCACCTCTTCAATCCATTTATTCTTTGCATTGTTTTATTAGTCTTCAGTGCATAAATTGCTGCTCTGAGCTTTATAATTTTCTCCTTCATATGAGATTTGAGCTTGATTTTCACTTTGCTCTAGAAGCTTGAGATTCAACATTAGCTTATTTGAGCTCACTCTGCTTTTCTGATATGAGAATTCACAGCTACAAATCTACCTCATATGATTTCTTTCATTTCATATGGGGTCATTGATCCCATATGCACTGCATTTGAGTATGTTGTATTAAATTATTGTAACTGTCTAATACTTCTTTAATTTTATTTGTGACTCACTCGTTGTTCAGGATTGCAATGCCACCTGGAAGAGATTAGAACTGCACCCTCTGCCTCCTCTGTTCTCCCTGCAATGGCAGTTCCAGCAGGAAAAGTGAAGGCAATGAGAACAGTGGGGGTGGTATCAGTGAGAGGAGCATAAATCCATGCCCAGTGCTGCCTCCATTGCCCAAGTATGGAAATGCCCATGAGAGGGTTGTAAATTTGCACTGCTTCCTTCCTCCATTGCTCTGGGACTATGGAGCCAGCAAGAGGAGACATCTGGAGGAATAGAAACCTTATAGGGAAGCCATGACATCAGTGCTTAATGCTATCTAATATTAGAAAGCTAAAAGCATCATCACAGAAAACAAATTAAATAAAAAATAGAAAATGACGAGATGAAGAACCAAAATACAATTACAAATGTGCAGCCCACCCAGGACAAGTCCAGAACACAAGGACACAGAGGAAGTCAGAAACCAACAGATAGAACTCTCTGAAGTGATAGCAGCAGAAGTGAAAAAAACAAATGGAAGAGGTCATAGAAAAAATAATCTCTAAGATGAAAAAAGAAATCACTATCAAAATAAAAGTGATTAAACCAAACAAAGATAAACAAATAGAGGAGCTCAGGAAAATGATGGAAACCATGAATGAAAAACATAGACAAAAAATGCAATCAGTGAAACATATCCAAAGACAAACCTATCCAAAGGCAGGAGATGAGAAACTCCACTGAAAGTATACACAACAGATTGAATGAAGGCGGATACAATATTGTATCTAGAAGAAAGGAATTCAGCTAGTGACCAGGGAAAAGAAAGATATCTTAAAAGTTGAAAGAGATCATGAAAAATCAATCCAATGGCTGCAGGATGAAGCTAAGAAGAACAACATAAGACTGACTGGAATCAGTGAGAAAGCTGGGGCAGCACAAAAATCATTAAAAACCTCTTCACAGAAATACTGGCAAGGTCGTGAGTTCGGTTCCCAGTACCGGAGAAAAACCAAAAAAAAAAAAAAAAAGAAATACTGGCAGAAAACTTCCCAAACATGGATAATGAATTTGACATACAAATAAATGAAGCATATAGAAATCTAAATATTCATGACAAAAAAACTACACCAAGGTATATAATAATCAAGATTCCAGAAATTCAGGACAAGAACAAAATGTTAAAAGATGCTAGAGAAAAGAAACATATCACCTATATAGGAAAGCCCATCAGAATCACAGAAGTCTTCTCAACACAAACCCTCAAGTCAAGGGGAGCTTGGTGTGGAGTATTTCAAGTCCTAAAGGAAAACAATCTTCAACCCAGACTGAGGTATCTAGCAAAACTATCTTTCAAAACTGATAGAGAAATAAGATGCTTCCATGACAAGGAGAAATTGAAGAAATTCAAGACCATCAAGGAAGCTCTATAGAATTCTGTGAAACACATATTAGAAACAGATAAAGAAAACCACATACATAAGAACACCAATAGACAGAAACCAAGCTATTAAACTGCACAAAAACAGGGAACAAACAACAGGGTAGCAACATGAAAAATAAAACCCAATGTATGCCAGTTTTGACTGTCAATGTAAAAGGTCTCAACTTACCAATCAAAAGAAACAGGCTGACAAAATGGGTCAAGAAACAAGATCCAACAATATGCTGCA